AAAGTGCAAAATGTTCAACCTGTGGCACATTCATGTGACTGAACCTCCCTCCATGCTGCTGAGGCTTTGCTTGACCTTTGAAGATGGCCGGATAGCATTTGGACAGTGGACAGTTTAAAGGCCCTCACAGCAAGAAGTGAGCAACAAGTGATGAGCATGAATTTTGCATCACTCTGACTACTAAAAGGTTGGAGGTTTAAGTCTGCCCATTTGTACCTTGAAAGAAAGATGTGGCAGAAGAAAGATGTGATTTCAGAAAAGCCAGCCATTGACAACCTGATGGAGCAGTTCTTCTCTGACACACATGGGGTCACATGAGTTGGAATGGATCCCATAGCAGCTGATTTACTGTAAATTGGCTTCTTATTTATGTTTTTGGTGATTTAGAATCTGATTCAAAGCTGATATTAAGAGGAAGCTCAGAAATCATTTTCAGTAGCAGTAAGATTATTACTAATGTTTGGTCGCCTAGTGCTGGAAGTCAAAGGTGTGAAGACACTATACTTAAGTGTTTTATCACACTCAGTGTTTCAGTCCTTGTTGAATCCATTTTGTTAGCTTTTCTAAAGAAATCTAGGGGAAAAGAAGTTTTTTTCCTAGCGCCTAATTTTCAAGATGAATACTTAACCCTTGCTAATTTTAAAGAGCTTCCTGTCATGTTCTTATCTCTATTCCATTTGTATCTTTCTTCGTTTCTTTCTTTCTTTTTTTCACATGGGTAATGTTCCAACTTCGTAAGAAGGCTTAAGGGAGGCACATGCCCTACAAAAGTATGAACACCCAATCATCACGCTTATGAGAATATGAGTGTTTGTATACAGTCAGACCAGCCAGAAGATACCTGGCAAAGCACAAATTGAAATTTGAAGGTTAGGTATGTCTCATTGGCTCCTCAACTACTCTGAAAATAAGAAAAGATCACATAAATATCTGGAGTTTTGTTTTCTTAAAATGGAATGTGTGTGTGGCAGTGACGGGCCAGCTGATGAGCTGCTGCTCTCCTCAGTGAAGGCAGGAGGGCTTCAGTTCTCACAGCTCCCACCACTCCCTGTTGTGTCACACCTGTTTCACTCGTTTACATCCATCCCTGCCTGGCCCCTGCTGGCACTTGATTGACGCACCTGTCTGTCAAATTATATTTTGGTCCCATTTTCTAGTATATGGCACCAGGACTTCTAGCTGGGGCAGACCATCATGTCCAGACCTGGAATACATAGACTCAGGGTATTTAGCTGATTTGGCCCTTTTAGCTGATGTGACTAAAGCTTCTACCAGGTTTGGTACCCTCAATCTGAGACCCATCACTGGAGGGGAATGTTCATTCTTTCATTTGTCCAGCAATTCCACCTTAAGTCCTGCATTAGGCATAGGAGGAGAAGTGGTAAAAGAGACTAGCATGGTGGCAGCCCTCAGAAACTCATGTGTCCTTGACACTCATGTCTTTGGAATAGGGGATGTTTCCTGCTAGTTTGTCTTCTCTTCAGCTCCACAAACTTACTTGATCTTCTGTTCCTAGGTTTCTTTTGAACTCAGGTTTGTACACATTTCAAATTAAAGGGATGGAAAGGATTTAGAGGATTAAGTTGCACTAATGTTCATTTTTCTGCCATATTGTACAATCACTGTTGGACGTCACAGCATGGACTCATCCGACCTAGAACTTATGAATCCTTTTATAAGTAATAACAGTAGCTGCTGTTTTGTGTTGTAATACTTCATCAAAAGAATAGGCCAGATACTGTTGTTATATATACTTTATAAGTGGAAACTGAGGCTTAGAAAGTTTCTTAATGTTCTCAAAGTTACAAGAAACTGAGTTTCAAACTTTGGGTTATCTGCTATAGAAGTTGAGTTTTTATGCATTATCCTGTAGTCAGTGTCTCTCATTATGTGTGACATGATTTGAGGGCCTTTTCTTGGCCAAGATAGTTTCTTTACCAATCCTGTTAACAAGGTCTGAAATTCTGCCATATGAATTTCCTGCCTTTATTTCTTGTTAAAATAAAATTTTAAAATCCTTGGAGGAGCATTACATTGTCATCACATCTTAACACTTTAACCTTCTTTCTGACAACTAATTAAAGATCAGACCCTGAGGGACCTAAGCAGGTGGGGGTACCTATGTGGCCCTGGGGCATAGCTCGGAAGAGATGCATTATTATTTCCCATGCAGTTAGAATTGTGAGGGGACTAAAATGAGAGCTACATGAAATCCCTAGCATAAGTCTGAGTTCATGGTGGGAATTGAAAATATATACCGATTATTATTAGGGAAACGTGTAAGGTAGAGACCAAGTACTGGCTGGGGAAGTAGTCAGAATCAAACTCACTGCTTTTGAGCCCATTCTGACTCATAATGACCCTGCAGGACAGAGGAGACCTCTCCTATATGGTGTCCAAGGCTGTAAATCTTTATAGGAGATGATTACTTTCTCTTTCTCTCATGGAAGAGTTAAAAGGTTCAAACAATGGTTAGCAATCCAACACTTGACCCAACACTAGGGCTCCAACAGAGGAAGGAGAGAGCTGAAATAACCTCCCAGTGTGCTAGTGTGGGTTCTTCATTCCTTTTCCAAATGTAGTTTCCCTGGAGCTCTGAAACCCTCCAATTCTAATTTGCTGAGGGTTTACAACTTTTATGTAAAAACAGGCTTAAATATGGGACAGGAAGGATGGGAGGCTGGGAAGGAACAAAGTGAATAATAGTTTGTATTTATTCTGCCTCTCTGTTTCCTGAGCTCAGAGTATACCACAGACACCATCTCATTAATCCTCTGTACTCTCTATGGAGTAGAAGGAAATAGACCTAGGAAGTGGTTTCCAACCTGAATATCTTCCTTCTGCAGCTCAAGTGGGCCCTTGCTTTCCTGCTGATACTTCTTCCATGGAGTGGAATATCCCAAGAGTCATTTATTTCCCACTGACCTCCTGTGGACTTGTTAAAGCCCTTACAGGCCCCTGCTTATCTTCTAGCTGCTAGCTTCTGCACACCTGTAGTAGTTATTTGAGACTTTACTCTCTCCTTCAAATGTATGTTTCTATTTAAAAAATGTTGTTAGGTGTTGTCAAGTTGAGTATAACAAATAGTGACCCTAAGAAAAACAGATGTAAACCCTATTCTATCCTGTTCGATCCTCACACTTTTTGACACACTAGAGCCTATTGAGGTGGTCACTGTGTCAGTCTACCTGGTTGAAGGTCTTCCTCTCCTTCAGCAACTGTCTGCCTTTCTGAGACATGTTTAGGGAAAAACCTTTCTCAGTGTCATTCTCCAAGGAATAGCCTCACCTAGAACATGCCTGGAGTATGTGAGGTGAAGCTTTATCATTTTTGCCTCCAAAGAACATTCTGGCTGCACCTTCTCCAAGACATATCTGTTTGTTCTTTTGGCGGTCCATGAGTTGTTTCGTACCCTTTCAACACCATAGCTCAAAGGCATTCATTCTTCTTCTGACATCCATATTCATTGTCCAGCTCTCAGATGCAGAGCAGTGAGCTTTACTTTTAGTCTATAAAGGTAATATATAAGAGTTTTCAACAGAAAATAACAGTAATAACAACAAGAGTATGTTGTTGTTTTGTGCTGTTGAGTCACTTGCGACTAGTAGTGACCTTATGTACAACAGCTCTGAAATCTGTCAATCCTGTTGTCTCTGACACACCCTCCCAAGCATGATGTTCTTCTCCAGGGAGTGGTTCCTTCTTGCAACATGCCCAAAGTATGTCAGATGAAGCCTCAGAATCCTTGCCTCCGAGAAGCAGCCTGATTTCACCCTCTAGGATGAACCTGGTCGTTTTCTTAGCAGTCCATGGTATATTCAATACTCTTCTTCAGCACCACAGCTCAAAGGCATCTATTCTTTTTCTATCATCCCTCATCCTTGTCCAGCTTTCTGACACATAGCAATTAAGTGCAAAGACTATTGCCTGTATCATGCACACCTTAGTCTCCAGATTGACATCGTTGTTTTTCTTTTCTTTTTTTTGGACATCGTTGTTTTTCAGAACTCTGGAGAGGTCCCAGACTGCAGACTTTCCAAGTGCAATTCATCTTTTTATTTCCTGGCTGCTGGTACCAAATGTTGATTGTGGAGCCAAGCAAACTAAAGCAGTTAACAATCTTAATCTCTTCACCATCTATTGTAATGCTTCCAGTTGGCCCAGTGATAAGAATCTTTGTAGTTTTTTTTATATTGAGCTTTTTTATATTGTAGGTTACAGTCCTTGACCTTCTGCATCAAGTGCTTCAGGTCCTCCTCAGTTTCAGCAGGCAGAGTTGTGTCATCTGCATAATTCAAGTTCTTCATGAGTCTTCCTCCAATCCTCATTCCATATTCTTTCTCATAACAAATGAAAAATTAAGGGCTCTTAAGCAGGTCTTCCCAGGAGAGAGTGAAACCATACTGCTCCTTAGAAGCAATGATTTTGAGGCTCTTTCTTATATGCTTTGGGCATGTTGCCAGGAGAGAGCAGTCCTGGTAGAGGGACGTCATGCTTGGGAGGGTGGAGGGACAATGCATGAGAGGAGGACCCAGGATAAGATGGATTGACACAGTGACTATAATAGTGTAATAGGGACAGGTGTGTTGGAGTCAGCGCAGGATAGGGCTGGATTCGGAGCTATTAAATAGGGTCACTGTGAGTTGCAGGTGACTTGACAGCATATAACAACAACAACAACAGTATTTCCTTTTGTTAACTCTTTTCTTTAGTTGTTCTCTTGATCCCTCCAGGTAGTTGTGGAATTATCTGGACTTTTTTTTGTTTACGCGTGTACAAAAGTACCATATATATAAAATATCATACTGCATGCCTTTTACCATGTTTCTCATGTTGGTTCAGAGGTTAATAAACTTGTGAAAGAAATTGTTAAGTGTCCAAATATATGCCACGTAGGGAAGAGGAGCATGGAGGGAAAAGAGTATGCCACGTCAGGCTATTTTCTTTCTGCTGGTTTGCTGCCCAGCTGTGAGGGATCATGCCTTGTTTTCTTTCCTTAGAAGGAGTTTGCACTGATCAACCCAGAGAAAAGTCCCAAAGAATCAGAGCAAAAGGAAACCAAAGCAGAGGAGGCGTTGGACCCTGAGGACCTGGAGGTGTTTCACCCGACCCATGAGTGGCAGGCTCTTCGACCAGGTACCAGTCCAAGCCCTGCTCCCATTAAACACATTCTAAATTCAACTTGCATGTGTCCTTTGTCCCCACAGGGCTGCTTTGAAGGAACAGCCCCTCTTTGGCCTGTTGGAGGGGAACAGCGTGGTCCAACAGCACTGTGGCTGCAGGGCTCAGGGGCCTTCATTTTCCGGCAGAACAGAGATTGCGGCATCTGAATGCCCTGGAAGGAAGGCAGGTGGTGGGTGGCTGTGCTTTCTGAGCAAACGATTGAGAACTTTCTTTCTTGCACTTCTGAAGCACAGGAGAGGCAGTGACATGTGCCTCGCTCTGCAAATGCTATTTTGGGCCCTGCTGCTCGGCTCAGTGCTGCTGAAATACTGTTCACGGGAGAGTCCTGAGCACCGGTGTGGGGCAGGAATGTTCTGTTGCTAAAGGAACCTGTGCCAAGAAACAGGGGCTGGTCCTGGCCTGGTTTTCAAATGGGGCATCCTAAGGTGTGACTTTCTGACCCTTTATAAACCTGGCCTGGGCCTTAAAATAATAAAGATAGCTAGGAGTTAAAGAGTGTTTACCATGTGTAGGTACTGAGCTAGTGCTTTATGTGTATAATCTTGCTCAATTCTCACAATACCAGGAACGAATCATCTCTTTATTCACAGAAGGAAACATTGAGGCTCAAAGAAATTAGGTAATTTGTCTGATGTCATTCAGGCAATTTGACCCCAGAGCCTGGACCATTCTCTCCCTCTTCCCCTTCTCTCAGTCCTCCTGTCCTTGCCACAGCCCCACTATGCTGCCCTGTTCTCGGGATTAGGCTGTTTGCACGGTGCACTGTGACAGGGTGGATGGCAAGCCCTGGCACTGCCCCTGTGTAGTTTCATCAGCTCTGTGCTGCTATTCATCACCATGTCCTCACTGCCCTCACTGCTGCTGTGCTGGCAGGGCAATGTTTGCTGTGTCAGTCAGCTTTGTGGTAGCAATATCGCTCCTGCTGGGGTTGCGTACGAGTAGTTACTGCCACAGAGGTATGATGAAGCCCCAAGGAAGCCAAGTGGGAGTTGACAGCATTAGGTAGAAAGGAGGCTTTTAGGAACAGTGGTACTGGGTTCAGCAGATTGAACCCCTGATTGCCCTTTCTCAGCTTTCCCAAGAAAGACGATTCAGGGGTTTTTTGAGGGCTAAAACTAGAATGGTTGCTAGGAATGCAAAGGGAAGAATGTGAGCTATATCCACCAATTTTATGTGGCATAGTTTTAACTTTTAACCAGGTGTGTGCCTGGAACAGATGGAGGCCAATATCCTGTGGTCCCCACTTTTTCTCTTCTGTTCTTGTAGCTGAATCAGCAGCATCCTTCAGGACCTTGGGTCCACATTGCAGAGCAAGGCTGAAGGATGACTCCTGGACCTTGCCCAGCCCTTTGGGCATCGAGACAGCTGAGGTTAGCTGAGCTTAAAGCCCCTTTCTCTGTCTGTGGAATGGAACAACCAGAGCCTGGATGACGAGGGACAGAGTAGACTCAGAGCCTTCTGAGAGGAAAAGGGCGGAGTACTGATTTTTATACTTGATCTCATGCCTGATATTCTTCCCCCACGCCCCCCGATACTCTTGATATCCTCTCCTGCTTTCCAGTTTCTCAAAGAACCCTCATAAATTCATCAGCTCAAATTCCCCTTGTTGCTGCCCCAAAGTTTTCTCTCTCTAGCCCTGAGATTTATGTGGGGTACTTAGTCAAATTTGTAGTGGATTGAAGGTCAGTGAGGTTCCTACTTAGAGACAAAGATATGGGAACGCTTTCAAATTCTTTGGCATGTTGTCAGCAAGGGAAATCCTTGGAAAAAAACATCATACTGGAAAAGGTGGAGGGTCAGAGAAAGAGAGGAATACCTTCAACATGGTGGATTGTCTTAGTGACTATAACAGTGGACTCAAGCGTGTTAGAGTTTGTCAGGGTGGCACAGTATAGGGCAAGATCCAGATCTCTTGTTCAAGGGATTGCTATGAGTCAAGTAGACTTGATGGGATCTAACAACAGCAATAATCACATTGTGTATTTTTCCCATTTCTTTGTCATGGAGTTGAAACTGACTCATAACTGATTCTCCAGTGAATTTTCAGAGGCTATAAATAACATGGGTGGATGAAGACCCTCAGCCAGATGGACGGACACTGACAGTGGGCTGTAGCATATTTGAGATTGGAATATGGTGCAGGGTAGCTGTTCATAGGGTCACTGTGAGTCATAATTGACTCAATGGCATCTAACAACAACAGCAACATACACATACACTTAGGCATTGTAGCTTAGAGGGCAAAGCAGCTCTAGTTCTCCTTTTGCCTGTCTCATGCCAAAGCCTGTGTTCCCAACCCTTTGTCTCTAAAGCAGAACTGGTGAGGAAGAAGCTAGGTGGGATATTTGTTCTGCCCTGGTGTCTGATATAGGATGATTTGGGGCCTGGTGTTGTGAAGTGAGACCAGTGGAGATAGACACGACATTTTCATACTTTTGTATAAGTCTGAGGCATTTTGTATGCATACCAAGAAAGGTTTTCTAAATATATATTTGTTGTTAAGAAATTGATCTTGGTGATCTGTGTGTATAACTGGCACTTAACTTCATTCAGAATATTCCACATTCCAAATTATGTCTGGGAGCTTTCAATACAGCTATCTATAGGTCTTTTTTTGCCTGTCAGAGTTGGACACAACAGTACCCTGCTTAAAGATGGTGATCTCCTACCCTGCGCTGAGTGTGGGTGAAGTTTCACAGTCTTGGCAGAAGTCCAGTCATCTGTATCTGGTTCCTGACAAGACTCAGAATACCTCTTCTCTAAATCACCCATTCTAAGGGTTCAACCCGTAATTTCTTCCATTCAGTTTTCTTTCCAGGCATCTGAATTTGCAGATCTCAGTCTGTCCTGATTTTGCTTTGTTGGCCATGACTAAAGTGGTTCAAAGTCTTGGTTAATGCTGACATTTAGTGATCCTAGTTCAATAGCTTCTGTCTCTTCAGGTTCTTGGGGACAGGATCAAATTTTTGAGCATTTGAGGCAAGTCACTTGAGTCCTGGTGCCATTGGGTGCATTCTTGGGAACCTGGGCTGTTTTGGTTGTAGGCTGGGCTTACTTAAGGCATGTTTCCAGAGCTTTTTGCTGTGGCTAGGATTATCAAGGGATTAACTCATGACTTCACAGACCTTCCCACCAAGACAGATGAGAATTGAGACCTGAGCTGAGCACCATTCAGCTCAGAAGCAGATGCGGGTCACTCTCTTTAAGTCTGTCCACTTCTGTTATTGCTGTCAGCATTCTTACTGTGAGCCACTTGTTCCTAGAAGTGATTTGCCTCTCTCAGTTTCTCTCTCCTGGTTTATTTTGGGATCTGCCTCACCTTATGGAGACACAGCAAGCATCAACTGTCACAAGAAAGCAAAGGAAACTATTTGCTGGCATGTCCTTTAGGTTCTTGGCTAGGTACTGAGGAATTTGTCCTGGGGCTGAGGACCCCTGAACACTAGGAATTTGTGCCTTTGATCTTATTATCAAAAGCCAAGCATGACTGCCTTCAGTGAGGCTTCTGCTCCCTGGGCATTTCTTACTTTGTGCCATGAACAGTACTGGTAGAGATATAGATATCAGCACATATTTATGGCACATAGACTCTGCCAGGTATCCTTTGAGGGAGGTGCTAGAATTGTCTTAATTTTTATAGACAAAATGGTGTGTCTGAGACAAGTAACTTACCCAACCAAGTAGGAAATTGGGATTCAAACCTCGCTTTTCTGCTTTAAAGCTGGAGATGCTAACTGCAATGCTACACTGTCTTCCTGAGAGAGGACATGACCTCTGCCTTTCAGCACCTGATAATCTCACAGAAGACAGAAACAGAAAAATGCACCAGAGTGTTACAGGTGTCACGGTGGCTCAGTGAGGGCGTAAAGGAGGATGTGGTGCACCCAGAGCCATCTCTTTCTATCCTTGAAATCTTGTTGGTGGTTAACCAAATTTTACTCATCCTAAGTAACCTGTGCCCTCAGTGCTACTTGAGTTCTGATTTTGAGCTATTGGTCAGGTTGCTTAGACTCTCTAATTCCTAGTTCCTCATCTGAAAATAAAGATGGAGATAACAACCTCACAGAGATGGTGTGAAAATGAAAAAAAGAGTAACATAGAGAAAATGCTTTGTATAGGGCCTGGCGTGTGGGGATATTCATTGACTGGCTGCAGTTGTAATATTTAAACATCTCCCCACCCCTGAAGTGATTTACCTCCCTTTCCTTGGAGGCCCAAAAGGGTAGGAGGCAGTCTTGGCAAAGAGCCCTATGTGTCCACTTACGTGGGTGCAGGGGAGGGGAGTTAGCACAGCCAGCATGAACCTGGGGCTTCTTTATGACCTGAGCTGACTCCCAGGTGGCTGTGAGAGTGTTTGAAATAGTGGCATTAGCAAAAAGAGCCCACTTGATGGGAGCACGCAGGAAGCCGTGCAGGAGCGTGCTCATATGACGGGCGAAAGAGGAGAAGAAAAAAAAATCCAAATCATCAACAACTGATGAGAGCAATCCAAGAATTATAGAGCACCAGCCATCTGGTCAGATCATTTCAGATCTGCACGAGCAATAGGAGGGAATTGAATTTTAAAAACCTCATTTATAGTAGACCAACTACTCTGGTTTCAAGTGTTTAAGAGACGAGTCTGATTTCCTGCAGGCCCTGGACATCTGTCTGAAGAAGAGCCTTATTCTGATTTGGGTGACTGTGTACAGCTCTCTCTGTGGGCTTTTTGGCCCCTTGAAGCTGGGAGGGGGCTTCACTTGAGGTGAGACCAAGGGGGCAAAGCTCTCAGGGTTTCTGTCTTAGCTTTGTGTTTGTGAGACAGTAGTGCTCTGTTTCCTTCCTTTGCTTCTTCTTTTCAACTTGGAGGGATCTCCCTTATGGATTATTTCATTCCCCAGAATGATTTCTAAGAGTATGCCTGCTTCTTTTCCCATCCTTCATACACAAGTGTAGACATATACCCTGAAGGC